CACAGGAGCGGAGGTGAGTGACTCTCCTGGCCTCCCACACGCTGGGCCAACCGGTGCCCAGCCCCCAGGGGCAGCCCCCTCTCACGCCTGCCGCAGAGGGCAGTGGGAAGGGGGCTGTGTCCTCCTGCGCCCTGCCCCCATCACCTTCCCCCTGCCATGGGCAGCCAGGACTGCATGGGCAGCAAGATCAGAACATGCATTCTGCCCCTAAAAGCCCAGATCAGTCCCCCGCGCGGCCCATCAGCTCAGTGCTGCTTGGCCCTGCCTTGGTGCATCTCCACCTCCACCCTGCCCTCCCCCTGGCACTGGCTCTGATCTGCCAGCTCTGGGCCACCTGCCCCTGGGCCATGCCTGGCCACAGCCTCTGCATCATGCCCGACCCCTCGCCAGCCCCTGCCCTTGTGCCCACAAACAGCCAGGTGGTGGAGGCCAAGAAAGGTATCCACACCCCTTCCAAACGCCCCACCACCCTGAGTAACTTCCTAGACGCTGAGCCCCCAGGCTGGGCCCAGAGGCATGGCCCTCTGTCGTTAAAGGGAAGGGAATGACCCCATCAGCAGGTACCAGTAGTAGGCTGTTGTCTTCCATGTGAACTAGCCACCAGAGGGGGATGTGACACATGATCTCATCCAGAGCACATCCTGGCCCACCTCCCCCCACACCCCGGGGGATGCGTACCAAGCACACCGCAGCCCCAGCCAGCCCCCCAAGTCACCTGCTCCGCTTGAGTGCCGTCTCCACGTTCTGGCCCCGGTGCCTGCGGTAGAAGTCGATGAAGGAGAAGGGCAGCGAGATGTTGAGGGGGTTGGAGCGGAAGGGCGCTGCCGCCCTCTTGCGGGCCTCGAAGGCGATGGTCAGGTCCACCCAGGCTGCCGGGCGCTTGGCCTTGAAGGTGGCGATGAAATCCTCCCCGAAGATCTGGCCCAGCAGCGTCTCGAAGGCCAGGTCCACCCCCACCGCCCCATAGGGGCCACCTGCAACGCACAGCCACTGCGGAGTTATGGGGTATGCGCAGAGCGGCTCTGCCCAGGGCAGGAACAGGCCCCCGGGAGTGATGGACACCCTGCTGGGACGGGTCGGGGCTCCCCAGAGGGGGAGATGGCGGTTGAGCTTGTCCGGGTGAAGGCGTTTTCTGGTTATGGGACTGACTGAGGTGTTAATAGCACAGCTGATAGCAGGGGCAGGGGCTGGCCAAGCGTCACCCACACAAAGCTCGGCTAGTTCTGACATACAGCCTGCCCCGGTCCTCCAGCCGCTCCCCCCTCCAGCTCCGGCCCCCACAGCTCTGCCGGTGCCCCTCAATCCTGCCCCACAACCCCCTGCTATCCCAGCCCTGGGCTCCCCCCACAGCCCTGCCAGGGCCCCTCAAGCCCAACCCACAGCCCCCCACCCCACTTGCAGGCCTAGGGTACCCCAGGCCCCAGCGCTGCTGGAACCCCTCAATCCCAACCCACAGAGCTGCCCTGCTAGGCCAGCCCGGAGCACCCATGGGAGCCACGCGGCTAAGGAGCCAGAAGTGGTACCTGGGTCCACCCCAGCCACACAGGACCTCCACCCAGATGGTGGGGGCTCCCGGTGGTCCCCACATTCACCCAGCTCTTGGGACTCCATGGGCTTTTGGGGGGGATTCAGCCCGCATCCTGGGGAAGGCTGAAGGGGGAACTCTCCGCAAGGAGCCATCCCCCCATGGCGCAGCGTCCGGGGCTGGGTTCTGTGGGAAGAGGACCTGCTAACTGGTGGACCAGGCTGACGAATGCTCTGCGTGTCCAGCTATCTGGTGGTTACATGCTGCCCCCATCACGGGGAGTGGAGCCCCTTTTCCCCAGCCCTCTGCAAACACTAACCAAATCATGATCAGCCCCCCTCCCCCCCCGCTCGCTCAGTATTATCACTCCCCATCACACACATGGGGAAACTGAGGCGCAGAGCAGCACCTATCCACTGCAGTCAGAAAACAGGGCTGGGGCTAGATCCAGGAACTCCCCAGCTACCAGCCGCATGGGTCAGCCTGCAGGACTCTGCCCCTCGGGAAGCTGGCAGGCAGGGCTTCATTTGTAATGACAGTGGTGCTGGAGCTCGGCCCGGGTAGCAGCCGCCTCGCGCCAGGCGATGGAAATTAGCTAGCCCTGGGAACAGACAGCAGGGAGCAGCCCGGCCTGCTACCCGCCTGCATGGCCAAGGCTGGAACTAGCCAAAGCGCCAGCCGATGGGGCTCAAAACTAGGTAGCCACATTTGTGGAAGTGGGAGGCCCAATAAAACCTGTTTGGCTGAGGCTTGTCTGTCGCTTTCTGGCACCACTCAGTAGCTGCTTTTGCAGGGGCTTGACAAAACCCACACAAACCGAGATGACCTCAGAACACAAAGCTGTTACTGACGACCTCCTTCCCCTAATCATGATCAGGTGTGTGACAGGCCTGTAGTCTGGGGGGAAGGAAGGGTCTGGTCTCTGCTCCCGGGCCCTCCCCTCTCAATAACCTCACTGCACAGAACCCTTCTGCCATGCGACTGGGAAACTTTACCACAGCAACCCAGTTTTGTCTCTCACGCTTCTCTTACGGGCTTAACGTGACTCCAGTCCACTGCAATTCATCAGCATCGCTGCCCATCACGGGGACCTCTGCGGGCCCCCAGCAAATCCTCCGGTTGGAAGTCTATAGCTAGTTTCCCTATGGACACCAGATGGTGCTACAGTCCCGCGCTGCACTGAGACGCTGGGCCTGGGAGCGGGGCCGGGGCTGCAGGCTGAGGTGCACTGGGGAACGGTCCCTGGGAGACGCTGTCTCCCCAGCTGAACGGGTCGCTCCTGAGCTTTTAGGCCTTGTCTACGCTACACGGTTTTAGGCAGACATCATAAAAACACCCCCCCTCCCCAAGTGGCGTCGGGCTGATGTCACTGGAGTTAGGGCCAGGCCATGTCTGGGTTGACGCTGTTTTCCTTACATCAGCTGCTGGCTGTCATTCTTGTCAATTTCATACTATTAAATTGACAAGAAAGCCGGCTCCGGCTCTGGAGCCCGGCTGCCACCTCGGCTCCCGGCTTAGGCTGCTGCCCGGGCTCCCCACAGGGACCCCTGCTGCCCCTCGGGGTCCCTGCTCCCCACCGGGAGCATGGCAGCCGACCGGACTCCTGGGGCAGATCTCCCCGCAGGAGACGAGAAGCCCCAAGTGGTTCCCCCTGCTCCTGGCTGGGAGTGGGGAGGAGAGAAGACGGGGAGGGGGGCAGATGGAGCTGCATGGAGCGGAGACCCCTGGCTCTCAGCCCCCCACACTGCCCCTCTTCAGTGGGTGGACGTGCGCCTGGTGAGGACACGCACCACCAGCAGGAGGGTCGTGTGGACATCAGCCACCACAGTCGTTAAC